ACAGACTGCTCTCACTGTGTGCCACTCACGGCCTGACGATCACGAACAATTGGTTTGCACTGGGTGCGAGGGATATAGTAACTTGGACGCACTCACGGAGTGGTCACGCTCATCTGCTCGACTATGTCATCGTACGTCAGCGTGATATGCGTGAAGTGCACGTGACACGTGTACTGCGTGGAGCTGAGTGTGGCACTGATCACAAGTTGGTGCGGACCAAACTGTACATGTGTTTCCGTAAATCTGTGTATTGCACTTACGCCGTGAATCGGCGTAAATTTAACATTCTCTCCCTCGGTACAGTAGAGAAGCGTATTGAGCTGAAGAAGACGATGGCTTCACGCCTGTGTGGTGATGTGGATTGCATAGCCACAGTGGGCGACCTGTGGCACCACATTCACGACCAGGTGACAGCTGCTGCCGAGGAGACCATCGGGCGCGCAAACTGTAAGCGTCCTGATTGGTTTGATGGGAAGAATGCAACGCTGGCGCATTGGTGTCGGAGATGAATGCAGCATTTGCTGCACATGTTGCAGACCCCAGCGACTTGGGGAAGAGTAGTCCGTTTCGCAAACTTCGACGGCGACTGACACGAGAGCTCCGTCTCATAAAAAATGCATGGTGGACGGAGAAGGCGAAGCAGATGGAATGCTACGCCGAACGCTGCCAACACAAGGAATTCTTTGACTCCTTGAAGGCGGTGTATGGACCGAGACTGGAGTCGCTGAGGACGCTGATTGGTGTTAGTTCAGGTGCTACCTGGCGAAATCACTTTGACTGTCTCTTGAACAACCGTTCAGAGATCGACTGGCCTACATTGGACTGCCTGAAGCAGCACGGTGTGCAGACGAGTCTGGCAGATACGCCGACACTGAATGAGACGCAGAGAGCACTTGCTCAGCTGCGAAAAGACAAATATGCCGGAGGTGACGGGATCCCGCCTGAAGTATTGAAACACGGCGGACCCGCGTTGGTGACTGCGCTGCACCACTTGGTGCAACGTGTATGGATTGAGGAGGAGGTGCCTCCTGAGCTGAAGGATGCCCTTGTGCTACCACTGTACAAAAGTAAAGGGAGCAAGCAATGTTGCACGAATTATCGTGGCATCAACTTGCTGAGTTGTGTGGTCAAGGCGATTGCCCGAATCCTGCTCAACTGCCTCGTTAGTCAGGTTGTGGAACCTAACGTGGCGGAAGAGCAATGTGGATTCCGTTCTGGTCGCAATACTACAGATATGGTGTTTTCGGCTCGTCAGTTGCAGGAGAAGTGCAGAGAACGGCACCAGCCGTTGTACTTCTTTTTGTTGATTTCACCAAAACATTTGATACGGTGAACCGCGAGGCATTGTGGCTGGTGTTGGGTAAGTTTGGTTGCTCGCGTAAGTTTGTAAGTTTAATTGAATGTCTGCACAGTGGTATGCGGGCGAGGGTGCAGCTGAGTGGAGAGACCTCGGATGACTTTGCAGTTGTTACTGGTGTGAAGCAAGGCTGTGTCTTAGCTCCTGCCCTGTTTACTGTATATCTTCATACAACCTTGTCCTGTGCTTTTGATGCGGCTTGTGCTTACGGAGTTCGTGTGGAGCACCGTATTGATGGTGGGTTGCTGAACATCCGTCGTTTCGGTGCGAGAGCTCTAGTCTGTGAAATAACTATCCGTATGTTGCTGTTTGCTGACGACTGTGCGTTGTTTTCACACAACGCGGATGAATTGCAGCCTATGACTAGTGCTCTGTCTTCGACAGCGGTCAGATTCGGGCTCACCATCAACACAAGCAAAAGTGTCTGTCTCTTTCAGCCTTCACCGGAGGTGCAATCTTCAATATTGCCTCGAATCAGCCTTGGTGCTGAACTATTGGAAACCAATTTGCGGTTGAGTTATCTTAGGAGTGTGATGTCGACTTAACAGCAGCTACACAGTGAGCTTCGTATCCGCGTGTCGAAGGCAGCGGCAGCATTCAGAAAGCTTGAGTACCGAGTGTGGAACAACCATCAGCTTACCGTTGGTACGAAGCTGATAGTATATAAATCCATGGTACTGTCCGTTCTTCTATACGGCAGTGAAACGTGGACGATGTACCGTCGGGATGTGGGATATCTCGAGCGGTTCCATCAGCAGTGATTGCGACGGATTTTGCGCCACGGTTCGGGCACCAGAGTTGCGGAAGCGGAAGTTTTGCGCCGTAGTAGAATGTATGCAGTGGACTGCATTTTTTTTGCTGAGACAACTGAGGTGGTTCGATCATGTGAGTCGTATGGATTCGACGTGGATACCGAAACAACTATTATGTGGTCAGCTGAGTATTGGGAAGCGGCACGTGGGGAAACGAAAGTTGCGTTACCAGAACATGATCAAAGTGAGCCTCTCCCGTTCTAATCTTGATAGCAAGTCATGGGAATCAAAAGCGGTTGATCGGCGTGCGCGATCTGATCACGAAGGCAGTTGCCACGGTGCAGGAGGAAGCCCTCATGCATGCAGAGAATAAGCGGCAAGCACCAATGGGTTGTACACCATTGACATCGAGCCCATGGTACTGTAGCACATGCGGTCACGAGTGCCTGAGTCAGGCAGGCCTAGAGATCCATGAGCGAGGCCACTCGGGACCACCACCGAAGCGACGACAGGTCCTGCAGAGAAGGTAGGCAGAACCGGCGCAGCGTTTGTAGGTACGCTGCATTCGATTTACTAACCGCATGCTGGCATGCTGAGTCTTTATTTCAAGTGGTAAGTTTTCCATATTGTGCTAATGCTTTTTTCTTTCATATTAATGTCTACCTCAAATTTCTTCTATAAGCTTGCACACCTCGCTGAAGCTAATTGCAGTTAATTTCGATTGCGTTTTCGCGTTTGTGGCCTTATATATATATATATATATATATATATATATATATATATATATATATATATATATGTATTCTGACCTCTTGAACTTATCGCGGATTCGTTCGCAATCAATTTATTTTATACGCTCATTTAATGAAGAGTTATGCCACCGTATCTGAATGCCTTATCCTATTTTTTTAGATATCGTCGTTTCAAGTGGTTGGCTCTTGCTTGATATCCCCTGTGTGGTTGCGCTTGATATGCATGTTGACAAAGTGCCTACCTGTCTATTATCCACTACCTCTTCCATGCTGGCTCCAGAAGACGGTTGTTCGTTGCTGGGGGTGACTTTGGGCACGGTCCTTGTGGCTGCGCTAGGCTCGAAGAGCGGTTCCATGCACTCAGTGTGGAGCGGACTACGGTCCAGCCACCGCATAGTGTGCATTTGATTCCCCAAATACAACATGCTTGTGTTTTCCTGTGAAGGAGTTTTGGGCCAGCTCCGTTGATGGAACCTGACTCCCATCCACGTGCCTCCCAGTCTTATTCCTTCGGGTTTACACTGGATATGGGATGTGTGGATGGAGCTATGGGTGGTGCAGCGCAAGCCATCTGTGGTCCCTCTGTAGGCGTAGGCGTCCTGTGGCTGGCCACAGTCACAGGCAAATCCGAAACCGGATGCCGCCAGCCATGTATGTATGTGTGCTCCATGCTGAGGGTGATGATGTATTCATGATGCTCCTTCACCGCAGTTGGGCTAAACCGACTTACACTTAAAGTTGGTCTATATAAGCGAGATAAACTTTATTCCACTTTATTTTTTTGTTCCTCCTACGTTAACAATCTTCTTCTGATTTACACTCGTTCCTTGCGCTTATTGTGGTTATATTCGTTAACTTTATGGCGTTTGTTGCATTTTTTGAATAACCTCTGAACGTTTTGTAATTATCACGGATTCGTTGCAGACCGACTTACTTCATATGCTAATTTAACGAAGAGTGATGTCGGCATAGCCGTATGCCTTAACATATATTTTTTTATATTGTCATTTCAAGTGATTTTCCGGTTGTTTGATATCCCCAGTGTGGCTGCGCTTGATGTGCATGTTGACAAGGTGCCTACCTGTCTATTACCCACTACCTCGTCCATACTGGCTCCAGGAGACAATTGGTTGTTGCTGGGGTGGGTGGGGGCGGTGTTCACGGTCCTTGTGGCTGTGCTAGGCTCGAAGAGTGGTTGCATGCACTCAGTGTGGAGCGGACCACAGTCCAACCACCGCCTTGTGAGAGCTTGATTCCTCAAATATTGCGTGCTTGTGTTTGGCTGTGAAGGAGTGTGGGCCGGCTCCGTTGATGAAACGTGGCTCCCATCCACATGCCTCTCGGTCTTATTCCTTCGGGTTTACACTGGAAATGGGTCGTGTGCGTGATGCAGCGCAAGCCATCCTTCATCCCTCTGTAGGCACAAGCGTCTGTAGAGCACCACGCACTAGCTTTAACCTTTGACTGTATCTTTTCTTCCGGTTGAAAAGTCCACGACACTCGCGACTCCACCCTTCGCAAACCGTGATTTCCATTCAAAGTGGCTCCGTTTGTCTCGTCAGATGATCGATGTCTCGTCTTTACATTGTGCCCGGTTTTAGTCTAAGGCTGCGTCACGGATGGTGTCATTAACTGGCGGTGAGGTAATGTAGCGGCACTCTCCAATGATACACTTGATTTCACGCACTGCTTATTCTCACTTCCACCCCCTCACCTTTACTCTTACTGATCGTTACTGAAATTGGATCCGTTGCAACGCTTTCAGTTTCTGTAAACTGTTATTAGTCCCATCGGACACGATCGTGCCACCGGTCACTATATCCTTATTTAGAAATTCGCACGCCCTGGTTCGCCAAATTTACGTTCGTTCACCTACCCCCTTTTTCTCCTGCCTACCTGTGAACTGATTTTAACTGTATCGTGACCCACCTAGAGATCGTGCGATTATCCTCCCCTTCAGCCTACTGGAATTTCCATGCCACTCGAATCACTGCACACTACATGTTTTCCACAATTTTCGTTTATCTGTATTATTGTCATTCGCTTTATGGCTATGCTTGGTTTCCTATCCTCCATCTTAACGATTTATCTCCTATTGTTTCAGCTGTATACCGATTAAGTCTTTACTCTCCTTTTAGCATGTCATCTGCAGAAGATACGGAAGATTTCGATGCCAAGTATGCATTTTTCCGTTCATTTTTTCCAGATCTAGCTTACCGCAGTCATTAAACTTAAACATGGTTCCAGTTACTTTTGCTTGTAAACCACCTTACTGTCATTTTGGATGTGTTGATGCTGGATCGGGCCCACTCTGCGTATTTTGTGGTTTGAATGATCAAGTCAAATTTGGCCAAGGAGCGCTTCGTCGTTTCCACTGTACAGTCGAATGGAGTCCCTTGCCAGATTGGTACCAGACAGTAGTGAACAATGCTACAAATGAGTCAGCCGTCTGTGGACCGGGTTGTGCGGCTAAGCCTCTATCGAGCAGAAGGAATCGTCGGAATCATTCGGTTGTGCTTACTCCTCCTTCGTGCACAGTCACCTTGGACGACTTGCTGATTGGGTCGCATATGTCAATGGATGGTTGCCGGTGGTATAAGGATAGGAAAAACACAGGGTAATAGTCAATATTTTTCTTATTTTTTTTAAAGGTTGGATGGCAAACACAGCTTTTCGTGCCTACCTAATGCCTATTTCGATTGCGAAGGGCGTCCCTTTGGTCTCATGGATGAACTTAACGATATCGGTTGGCCTGAGGTCCCCGAGGGTGAGGCACCTCTTGAACTGTGCCACCTTGTGCATCCCTGTTCCCCCCGTGAGGGTGGTGAGGGAAGTTGGATTTTTGCGCATCATTGTTGTGCATCCTGGTCAATGGGTGTTCATTTTAATGAAAACGTGAGTCTCGCTTTCATTGTTTTTCGTATTTGCCCCCTTGGTTCCTAGCTGGCTAATCAGGTATTAATTTTGAGCGATTTCTATTACTATCCCTGCCGTCATTTCCCAGCGTATAGCTGACACATTATTTTATTACTAGTCACTTTTGCTAGAACCATCAAAATAATGCTTACCACCACAGTCATCGCATACATACTCATTTCTGTTCAACTGCTCTAGATTAAAACAGACTTTTGTTCTAGTAGGGTTTTGTTAGCTCCTTAGGAGACCTAACTTTTGCGAAGTCTATTACCTTCGTGTTATTCCGATTGCACAACCAGTTTCTACCACTTGGAAAACTATTGGAAGTTCCAAGTTATACCTATCCACATGTGTCTTCCTTTTATCTAGCCCTTCATTAAATTTCGACTTTCTTTCTTCATTCGTCTTGCATTTTCAAGCCGTTTTGTTTCCCATACTTCCTCCAACTTTCATGAAGACTCACCTGTCCAACTAGCCATAGCAGCAGGAGGCGTGTTGGTTATGTCGAGGAATAACTTCACAAATGTATAGCTTCTGGCAAGTAGTACGGATCGTCTTGAACATTTTCGGTTTGTTGATACTTACTGCATAATGTTAAACTCACTTGACAGCGATTTTTCACCCTTTCAGCACGCAACTCACCGTTTTTTCCGTCATATATTCGAAACTTAGGTGCCGACAGGATCGCCTGCTGTCGGCTCGGGCAGAGTAATAAGTAATTAGTTATGGGTGACGTCTTTAACCTTTGCATATTTCTCACCATTGTATGAACACCCAGTTCATTGCTGAAATTTAGACTTCATAGGCATGGATCCGATGCCAACACTTGTGAACCTATAATGGTGTATTCTGCTCAGTTGTTTCGGATGTTACGCGATCACCTTGGAAAATAGACAGGTTTCGTGCCTATCGTGACTAATTTGGTTGATCTTCAATTTGGGCTCCAGTTAGAAGTGTGGTAATCAGAGGTATCAGTCTGAGCTCCATCGCCTCTGTCGTTATATTTGTAAAGCGCATTGCCCCGGTTTTGCCGCAAACCAGGCTACATTGACCACATCTCTACTTTGTGCCAGTTGTTAGGACACCACCACATATATTGGTGGCCCATCGTAGTCTTGTTCCTCGACATCAAAGGTCTCTTGTTCGATGAATGGATGTGTCCTTTGGGACTGTCTTCTCAGGAAAACTGTGCCCAAGAAATATGTAAACACTATCGGAGCTCTTTGCGCGCGTACTTTGGACAGACTGCAGGGTTTTCGCAAAGTGTTGTTAATCTTCAAGGTCTCCAGCTGTGCGGGACAACGATACTCACTGTCACCCTTTTTAACTTCGCCATTGATGAGGTTATAGAAACTGCACTCACCGGACATGACAGGTGTTTAGCTGCTTCGAAATGTTCAATTTTTTGACTATTTCGATGATATTACCATCTATAACGGCGCACAAACCTGGCAAACAGCGCTGGACAAATTGGCAGTGGCTGTCGGGTGATGGGCGTTTTGCTTTGCACTCTCCGAATGCAAGAATGTCCTGTATGACGGGAAGGAACTTACCCTTGAATTGACCCTAGATGGGGATCACCTAGGAATCGTTCAGAAATATAGCTATCTGGGTATCTTTATCAGCGTCTCTGGAACGGAAGACAAAGTGATAAACCGTATAGCCAAAGTTCCAGTGCGTTTTCCAGTCTTTGTTGCTTGTCGCGAGCTCACCTTACTGTTGTTCTGAAGATCAGAGTTTACGACGCAGCCGTCCGTTCAACTCTCCTTTACGGCTGCGAAACCTGGCCCATCAGATGGACAACCATAATGAGGCTAAATATATTCAACCATCACCGCCTTCGCAGTTTTGCTCATCTCTGGTGAGAACGCCACGTGGGCAATGAACGTGTTCGGCGTCTCGTATTTTGTGCAGGAAGAGTGAATGAACCGTTCAGCACCGTTATTTCGCCCCTGTGCTCTGATGACAGGGCCAAGTGTTGTGCATACCAGCACACTTACTCCCGCGTCGTGCGTTGTTTGTGCGCTGGGGATGTGGATGAGGTGGGGAAGCTGACCGACGACTCGGTCATGAGGAATGAAGGACTTCATTTTGTACTTTGCCCCGTTTAGGGCTTGTCGACTGAAAGGCTGAGGTCCGAGGGACGATGAACATGTTTGGTTAGATACACATGTTGACACGACGAAGAGCCGACCTCAATGTCGCTTGGCTTTGGAAGCTTCTTCCTTCTACCCCATCCCATTTAGCCTCCTCTCCAGCCACGACCTTGTTGCTAATACTTAAAATAAAAGTAATCATTATAATATTGCCCTTGTTTTTATACTGCGACCTAACCGAATGGTCCTGCGTTGCAATATCTTGGTTTTTCTCATCCCTGGCTAGTGTGTAGATTGACGATGATGACAAATTTTCTTTGGGACGATGTATTCCGAAACTTTTTTAATCTTTTTGGTTGGCCACTTCCCTGTGCATACTTGATCTCGCGTTTCATGGCTATTACACATTGGTATAATGAGTGCCGCACTTTGTTTTGACTTACATCGGAAGCAGTGAATGTAACTACTTCCACATATATACCAATCTCTCAGTCCTACTCATCGAATTGTTAGCCATCGTACATTTTAAATCTGGCGTTTGAGCGGTTTTCGTCGCCATTTTATCACCATCGATATTCATTTATTCTAGATTAAGGCCTGCCACACTTCAATCTCTTTTCAGTCCCAACTCAGCCTAGACGGTGTGGAGGATGCAGCTAAGCATGCTTTGACTCAAATTTGTGCCCTCTGTCGTCGTCTGGGTGCAAGCTTGCGATGTCGGTTTCCCGGCTGTGATACCTATTTTCATTTCCCCTGTGCTGCTGGCTCTGGGTGTCTACAGGATGTCGAAATACTTGAATTGTTATGCCCACGACACTTGACGGACGCAGAGCTACATGGTAATGCATATTTTGTCCTTTGTGATATCCGAATCACCTTTTGGCCGTTGATTATTCGATAGTGACAGGCAGTCTCCCCATTTACTGAAGCTTTTGATAATTAATATCAGTTAAATGCATCTTGTTGGTACGAAAAGCCGCGGATTCATGTGGTACCACGACGGGTCTTCCTAAGCTCATTTACCGTTTTCTCCCACATTTACATCAAGATTCCAACCCAGATGTTTGCCTTGTAATCCACACATAACCACCTCGAGCTTACGTTGACGCAGACGACTTGGCAGTGACTCTAGCTTGTACACGTTACTGTTGACGGTCACTTGGCAGCGAGGCGTCCGTACTAGGCACCGACATACTTCTGAGACCTTAGTTGTTACCGTACTACCAGTGTCTTTGTATGGGCCATAGACTTGCTGTCTTAGCTCTGGTGAGATCATGAGACCGACTGTGTTCTGTCACGGGTGCCTGCAAAATATTACCGTTATCTGCTTGGAGAATCTAGTGACTGGTGTATAAGTTTATCATTTCCTTTTCGGCGACCGTCTCTCTGGATAGTCTTCTGAACTGGAACCACCGGTGGCTTGGTCGTATGCTCCGCATGCCAGCGAGTTGGCTGTCTCGACTTGTGTTCTTTATCAACACTGCACGTATTTGGATGAGACTTCGCTGTATGCAGTCAATGACATGGTGAACGTGCATGAGCACCGAAAGTTTGTGTTGATTTGTCCCTTGTCATCTTCCTGTATGGGGTCTTGGGGACGGAGCACCACTGGTTTGCTACCTTATCGGCTATGACTCGGTCACGTTGTCACAGTTCTCTTACCTTCCTTTTCCTATTTCTGGCTCTTAGCTGTTGCACCTGAGGATTTTGATTCTTGTTCCGATTATTATTATTGTTATTATTATTACTACTAATCTTTGTTATTGGGCTTTCGTGGAATGTGATTGACTGACCACCTCACGGTTTCGTGCAAATTAATATAGCTATCATGCACACCGAGAAAAGCAGTCAACAGGCATACCGAGCCAACGTAAGCGGGTGAGTTTAAGCAAACGCTGGAGTGGGGCACCAGAAGTCTTCTCGACGAACACCAACTGGCGAAACTTAGCATTGCTCATCCCGTATTCCAACCATATGCGAGCAATACTCCGCCAGCACCACTGGTCAAACACCGACAGGCGTTTAGTATCTTCACTGCGAACTTGTCAGGTCTCTGCTCTCTACGGTAACAAAGGCTTTATGTTAGCGCTATACGCCTCAACTCTCATTGATAGCTTGATATCCTTCCGTCTCCACAGATGGTTGAGCCCCTGGAAAGCCACACGAGCCCTATTGATACGCGAAGTAACCTTCTCAGTGGTATGATCACCAGTGTTATTACTGCTATCAAGGTACATGAACCGATCCACCACTTCCCGTGGCTATTCAGCAATAGCTAGAACCACTAACGTATCGACCAGGTCTTGTAATAGCGCTTTGCATTTTGAAAGTGCAAAGCACATGTCGAAGCGTGCAGCGATACGCGTCGGTCTGTACAGTAGTGTTGGTATAGCCATTGTGTCAGACCCAAGGAGAGTTATGTCATCCGCATACTCAAGGTTTGTTGGTCAGTCGCTTGGCAGCACCGCCACTCCGTTAGAGTCTGAAAGTACCGTGTTATGCATAGTCACCTCGAGAACAAAGTTGAAGAAGAGAGGAGATATAGGTCAACCCTGGCGAACATCACTTATCGTGGCGAACTCAAGAAACACTTTCCCGTAGACCCTTATCCAGCTTCTGGAGTCACGCTAGCGAAACTTCAGAATCGAATGGGGTTTTCCAGATACACAGGTAGGTGATGCGACAAGCTGGGGTGATCAACCGAATCGAATGCTGATTTAAAGTCAAGGAAAACTGCCATAGTCGGTCGTCTGTAACTGTGTCTCTGTTGTATCACTTGACGAAGAGTACATATGTGGTCGACACAACTACTGCGGTGATGCGTGAGTTCTCGAGTGATACCCGTGGTAAGTTTGGCGGAAGCGGAAACATGTTAGTGCCTCGATGATTTTCCAACAGAATACCCTGATAGTCGCGATTGTTGACAGTCGCCGGCCTATGCACACCTCTTCAGTGTCCCAAATGGTTTTACTATAAGTGGGAAGTTCACTCTACGGTGGCTCACCTGTTCCTTCCAACATAGATGGAGAAATGTCGCCCCGCTCAGAAGCCTTGTTTCATTTCTACCCGGCGAGCTCATGTGGAATTTTTTCCGAAGCAGATGTGACACCAACGTCACATGTGTACTCATGTGGTTCAGCAATTGGAAGTGTCGCTGAGGGGCTAATGAACCGCTCTGCAAAATGTTACTTTCAAATGGTTATCCGACGTGGGTGACAGCGAACTGGTTGACCATAATTCTCAGCTATTGTCTCACTAGGGGTTTGCTTGGCTTCGTGTTCCAGATAAATTGTGACGGTATTCGGCTGTTTCCAATAGCACTGAGTTTTTCTGTCTCACAAACCACCCACCGGCGTTTCCCGTCAATTCGAAGACTTATTGCCCGTTGTCGTCTTAGGGCATTACGGACATGGTGAAATTAAGTACCCTATGTAACATGTCAGAGCACTTGGACCAAACTGATCGATGTGTTAGAGATCTATACACAGTTTGGACGTACAGCTGATAGCAGACATGAGACGATTCTAGTCAGCGTTTGATTCATCAGCCACTTTCTTCACTAACAACTGGTACGCTAGTTCGTCGTACTTTTGTTGCAGGGCAGGCTGCCATACCATCCGGGAAAAGGTAAAAACATGAAGGCAAATCCATTATTTTAGCAATTACTCGATTATCTTCGATCGTGCATTGATTTCGAAAATTCCGGAACCTTCCATTCCTTCACGTGATCGCCAACATACAACCTTTTGGCAGGGAGGCTGCTAATTTTACCAGTTGACCTTCGTTTTCTAGAAGCCGAAGGTCATTGAGCCCCCTATATATTTGGCGTAGTTCTGGCGTAGTTTTTATAGTGCTTTTGCGGCGTTTTTGGCTGCGGTTGGTAGCGTTTTTGTTAACACCTTTTTCGCGGTCAAGGTCGTTGGACTCTCGATTTTTCTTCGGCTGGGCTAGAATATTTGCCGAAAATTTTGAGTGTTTACTTCGGAATAGTGAGAAAACCTGAAGATCTAACACATACTATGACTTGCCTACTTCTCTTCCTTGGAGCTGAAACCGAAATAAAATCTGTTTGCATTTTTCTCATCCTGGGGGTTAGGAAAAGGTCGACGCTCACATTGTTCAGTGCGGGCTATACACTCACCGGTCAGCTTCATCAGCCAGCCCCACGTGTTACCTCTGGCAGTGTTGCAGGCCCACTTTAACGACTGGTTTGCTGTCGTCCTGCTTGAGTCTTACAAGTGCTACTCCTTATGGTTCAAACGTTAACAACCCGATTGATCATTGTCGTTTGGTTTTTTCAGTCGGCTTTGGCACTCATTACCTTACGGGCCATGTTACCGAACCAGCGACCCCGAGCGTAATATTTTACACATGATCCCATTTATGTCCTTGTGTTTAATAGCGGATTACTGTATCATGTGCTAAAATTGGGTAACCTAGAACTCTCTCTCTGAATGGGCAGCATGATACTTATTCATCCACCAGCTCCGTCACCCTGTTGTTATCTTTTCCGTTGCTGGGATTTAGAAACGTTAGAAAATAGACTTCATCGCACCGGACAGTGTAGTAACCAAGCATCTGGTGGCGTGACTCAGGCAAGACAGCCGACAATGTAGGGCAAGACAATTGCGTCAAACAGGACGCGCCATACGATCAGCGACTCTAGCCGTATGCACAACAACCGAGACGTTAGGAAAGAATGAAATTCGTGGCCATCAACGTTCTGCAGTTTTACACTTTTTGACGCCGGATGTACTCCCAAAGACCTGCTTTCTACTCGGTGTCTCATAGTTGTGAAGTATAGGATTTGCATGTAGACTCGAATCTGTTGGCTTACCCACGTGGATCTCCGTATGTGCTTCCTTGGGCTGATGGGGCTTGTACAGTTTCTCATATAATATCCGACGGTACTTCCAACCATCGTTTGCGCAGCGGATTAATATATCGAATCTAAACAAACGGCCCGATGTCACCACGTACGGCACGCCTCCATTACTTTTTATCCCTACTGCGTATTACCCACATTAAGCTCCATTCTCTGAACAACTACCGTTGTTCTCTGTTTCTGTCAACTCCGGTGGGCTGTCCGTTCACTCGTTCGGAGTGCACTTGCGGATACAGGTGGTCGCGACTAGTCAATGGATGCTCTGTTTCAGTTGCTTTCACTCTACGCCAGGTGCAGTTCCTTTTTTAATCCTGCATCGTTGTTTATGTTGTCATTTTCAGGTTTCCAGTCAACACAGTGTACTTTATGCGAATGCTTGGGGGATATTTCGGAACTTTTGTTTTGTACGGGTTGTGGCAGTCACTATCATTCGTCGTGTCTTGATCCCTTATTGCAACCCAATCCGACGATGCGCATTGGTTGGCAGTGCGCTGAATGCAAGACATGCCTGATATGCAAGTAAGCGAATTCAGTTGACTCTCATCCACCGTTTCACGAGTCTGGCCGTTCTTCCGCATGTACCATGGTTCGCGTGACGATAGCTCCTGCTAACCTACTTAGATCAGTTGGTTCACTCATATTTTTCGTATGGGGCCGGATGGCCTACGAGTGCGCGCAGTCCAATACTTTTCCATCACTCACATCACCCGTATTAACCACCACTACTGCCCCTTGCTCCCTCAGAACACATGGTCCTATTTCCCCAGCAATTATCTCTCTTATTGCTTGTCTGCTGTGCATCGTTACGTTGATCATATGAGCGGAACGTTTAAATTAAGGGCATATCTGTTCATCTTTGTTGCTTCGATACATTTTAATCAATTGTCTTTCTGGAACTCACACCACACGGCTGCCTGGAATTAGTTGTGTTCATTTTAGAAATCCGATCATCCATCTAAGACCGTAATCAATCCTGTTGGTTGATGTTTCCAGCATCTACAGGGAACTTAGCTTCTCTCCACGGTCACTGTCGATTTGCTTGCGCTTTCCGCGCATCTTGTTCCGGCCGATAACCTCTGTCTCATTCACCTTTTCTGCTCGCGAACTTGTTTTCACTACGCAGACGTTTTTTTTCACCGCAACTTACCTATGAGTCCATCGGACGCTTCACGGTGACCCGACGTGGCCACCGGATCTCGTACATTGGACCTGGCATCAAAACGGCTTGTTTTGTAGGAGACAGCGCATAATCTGAGCCTGATTGTTTTTAATCTGTAAAAATAGATAAGTACACGTGCATATTTAGCGATAGGCGACATCCGACTCATACATGGGAGCTTATTAGAATTAGTTAACTCTCTCCCTCCTTAACTCACAGATTTCGGAAGCGAGCCTCTTAGTGCCAACTGCCAGATTTTCAGTTGCTTTCAATTTCCTTCTGAACATTCATTGGACATGTTTCTTAGTTCCACAAAACAGATATAGGAAACAACTGCTGATTACGGGGACACTGCTACCAATATCATATCTGAAACATTTCATTACGTCACGGTCCTTGAAGAGGATGCTCCTCCTCTGACAAGATGCTTCGTGCTTTTAACCTCATTGGTCATTTCGCGAGCTACTTAAACTCAGAACATGCCATATTAAACTATGCACTCACTCGCTTACTATCTTTTATTTTACCCAACTCAGTGACTCCTACAAAGGCTGCAGAACGTTCTTGCATTCAATATGCTCTACTGGTTGAGTATGAGCAATTTTAAAAATATCCTTTTTACGGCATGCAACATGAGCAGGTTTAACTGCCTATTCTCTACACTGAAAATGTACACAACCCATGGTTCTACGCAGTTATCTTTATACTTTTAAATGAAGAAACTGTCGAACACTTTGTACGCACTGGTAGCTTTTCGTCATCTGGGTGGGATGTTCTGTGAAGACGGTCAACACTGGATAAAAATAATGCGACTTTCACGACGACCTAATGCTCGTTAGTTGAATTAACGGACTTTGAATGTACTTTCGAGCAGTGGACAGTTGGCCGATTACTACCCTTCAAACCCACTCCAAATTAAAGCAGCTGCCCCCGACTTCAGACTGACCGTATTCTTATCTGGTCAAGATGACTTTTAACGACAGACTAACTGGGGCTTTCAGAGACTCACGTGGCCAAATAAATATCCTCCCTCAGATAGTTTCACTTTTATAGCCTACAATCTACCGCCATTTTCTCTATCAGAGCAGTCGAACGGCCCGTCGACAGGGAAGGCGTTTCTAACCATAATATCTCTCAACATTCTCATCTGCCAATCGGGCCCCAATTAGCCATCATGGTGAAAAAAAGACAGTTGTCTGTTCATTATTCCGTATTTTTCCTTGAAGCCATGTCAATATGAAGTTCACCGAGACTTAATTTATTTACTGCGGCACGCCACCCTTAAGCATAACAAGAAAACTTTCCACTCAGTCCACTTCGTATATTCTACTCCGAGGTTCTCAGTTCTTCTACCATAAACACTTACTCTTTTATCTCACTTGTTATCTGCCTACAGTTGTTTTGTCTCTTGGAACTTCGCACCATCGGCTGTTTGATGAAGATCGTTTGCCTAAACCGACAATGGTTATCCGCCTATATATGCGAAGCGGCGTTAAGCCAACCTTCGTTGCTCAGTGGACTCACTTATCTGAATCGTAGTTCCACTAGTATTTTGTAGCTTTCTTAGCACTTAGTGAATGGTATTATTGCCGTTTGCTTTGCGCTTTGCAAAGCAGGACAGATTCGCTTTCCGTGATTTCAACTTCCAAATTCTGTCTGAATGTCATCCACACCTCAGTGAACAAAATTTGATGCGGAGACAGTGTGTTGTCCATCTGAGTACTGAAGCCTTTGCTGGCCCCATTGCAATCTTATTGCTCGGATTATTCTTTACAGCTATGGTTCAGCTCATATGTTAAACAGATTCGAAGGAATTAATATTTATCAGCGTTTCTTTATTTTAGTATAGGTCACGCATTATTTGCACTTTCTGGGTGCGATTTAAAAGTTTGTCGCGACGGACTAGTGATGATATAGTAACGGAAGAATAAAAATATTACTCCATGTCTAGCATCAGTCGCACCTGTCTTCCTTCCAGATTGCGGATCACGGGATACGGATTCTCATTATAGTTTGAATTCCTAGGGGTTGTAGCTCGAAATAAGAACCACTGCATTCCGTTTTTGTTCAACGCTAATTTCTGAAGAAGACTGGAAAAAAACCGTAAATAGCTTACGTGCAATACCATAAGCCTCATCTCCTTTATGACACCATTTTCTCTTTGTTGAACTTGGTATACTCCCTCCGTTACCACCATGGTTTTAATGGCATATTTGTCTGCTCTCACTCTGTTAGAGTGCTAGCCTTTACTTTTTCCAATCCACACACACTGCATGTCGCCCCATAAAGCACAACACCTTCTCATTCGCCGACGAATGTTAGCATCTAGATATCAAACAGCGAGTGCAAGAATATCAGCGGCTCCTTCATTGTTTTTGTCTGAAATATCACTGGTTATAGGGTCACTGACCACTCACTTCTGGTCACGGGAATGAGTGCCTAACGAAAGAGCGGATGAGCAACCTTGCTAGCCACCGGCTTCCCTGTGGACTGCTACCGAACACAAAGAAGGCGAATGAGCCACCTGGCTTTCAACGGTCTTCGTAAATCGTCCAGCTGGCTTGCAGGTCAGGTCTTTATGACCAAAGGCTCGGAGTGAGGTCCCTTATATCAATCCTCTTCCTCGGCTTGAGCAATCGAGATCTCTGCCCACACAACGCATAAGCCTTCTAAGACTCCTTAACCCTTCCACTGACTCCCTGTTTTTCCCCTTTTTATTTTTGTTAACCATATGTTGTGGCACGGCCAATGACATTTTGGTCGTGTTGAGTATATATATATATATATATATATATATATATATATATATATATATATATATATATATATATTCAGCTACTGTGCCCTGTTGGGAAGCCCCATTCAAGTAAGCTCCACTTTTCAACGTGGCCAAACCCTTCAGTTAATATTTCCATGCCCTTCTGTTACTTCGTCTGCCCATTACCCTTCAATTTTGCCAAACCAGGTGCGTCAGTGACCAATAATGCGCTCGGACGCCAAATGCCGACGAGTGTACTGAGGACATTACCCGACCGATATCAGCGGTTCAGATTTGGTGGAACTCCCAGTGTAGCACCAGTAGTATTTCCTAACCAACTGCTGGTGAGATTCATTATTGCACACCCCGGTGCTCTAATCAGACGTGAGCAGTACTCAGCAAACACCATGATTAAAATCTGCCAACTTCGTAGTTTCCATTGCGAAGTGGACAAGTTCCTGGACACCAGTCTTACGGCAGAGTTATATATCCTTCGTTTGGCTGACGGGCTGATATCTTATTGCTAACATATAGGCTTGGGGCTACGAAAAGATATCGAGACTTTGCTTACATCTACGTTAGTCTCCTTATTGGTTTAGGCATCAGAAGCACGGAAGAATTGCCGTAGCATAAGTACTTCCCACCAACATTTTTAGAGGCGCTTTCACAGAAGCTGGGTCGGATCCGAAGAGAGCCTTGTCGCTGGAACACTCCTGCTTTGTCAATCTCTCACTTGGCGAAAGATACACTGGGCGATTCCGAAAATATTAGACCATTTGTATTTAATTTGGTAGCATATTCGAAGAGAGTAGCGGATATTGATCACGTCTATCGTACTCAGTAGACGGCCTACTGAAAACCACTAGCCGGTCTCGTGGTTCGCAGTATCGAATCTTCCTAGTAGAAAGAATTTTCCTTGCCGCACCTTTGAAGGATTACTTGCATCATGAGCTTACTTAAACAACCCTAGTGAATCTTCTGTTTACGTGTTCCTGTTCAAAAGCTTGGCGAAGAGTAGATCAATCGGACCTTCACTTGATCTCGTCACACCAGGACAGGTATCGCCACCCAATAACGCCCGTGGCAAGTGTACTGGTGCTATCAGTAGAGCTAACATCTCAGTGATTTTCCTATCAAATTTGGAAATATAATTGGATGTCAACATCAGTCTGTCTTAATGCTGCTTTTCGACAGATTTTTCGAATCTCGAAATAGATTTAACATCAACTCTCACATAAGTTTAAACGATTTATCAGGCTCGGTATCTTTCACCCAACCGTTTAATCGATTTGTTCGTAAACGAAACAGCTGTCGATCCTTCTAATTCATCGTCACACTGACTAAGGACTTTCTTCGTTCCGTGCCCCATAAACAGCATTGTCATCGTTAGAATCTCTAAGTAATCAGCATCTAGACATTCGAGTTTTCGTTAGACTTTTTTTTGCAAATTCTGCTTTTGTTTACTGTTTTTATTTCTTTTTCCATCAAACTTCGATGTAGGCCAACATGGACTTCACTTTCGTAGCATACTCCCAGTAGTCGAATGAGTCGACAACCACTCGAACCTTTAATGTGCAAGTCTTGAGATCCTCTCCTCTGGACTTGCCGTAAACTTAGACTCCATGTCCTGGTAGTTACAAACCTGTTCCGCCTATTGACAGGCAGACCAATTTACTTGTCTGTTGGTCTGCTCACTTATTTCGCATCAGTTCAGCAATCCAGTGGGTTCAGTGTCCATATTCTTCCTCTCCTGCCAACTTTTTTATCGCTCCGTTAGCGTATGAGCAGCCGCATATAGCCTTTTTCACGCAAATGCATGGGCTTCTTTTGTCTCTGTTCGTCACTTTTCTATTCCGCTTTTTCAGCTCAGCGATCTTGCGGTTAAATGCTTTCATTATGCCTTCGTTACATTTTTTTCCCTGACAGCGAAAGCAAGGACGAGAACAAAATGTTGGTCTGTGATGTGTGTGATAAAGGCTTCCATACGTACTGTCTCCGACCTCCAGTTTCCAGCATACCCAGAAACGGGTTCAAATGTGAACGCTGTCGAGTGTGCATGGACTGTGGATCTGGTCGGGCATCATCTCTCTCTGCGGCTAGGACCTCGCGTATTACTAATGTCTCCCAGGTAAACGTGATATACAGTTTCATGCATAACGTTTTACTGCACATTCTGCATATTGCATTGGGCGTTTCATTTCTTTCCAGTCTTTCATCTGTGAATTCAATAGCCTGTTTCTGAAGCTGCCAATTTTAAATCCTCTCGCTGATGGTGGATTGATTCTTGCATTCACCATGCAGTTCTCGAGGTATCGGTTCGAGTCTAAAATGCAGGTGATTCCGCAATATCCCACCCAGGCTATCTGCAACTCTTGGCGATTGCGGGAGAGCGAAGTGTCGTAATGCCGATATTCACCTACCTTCCATCATGGCGGGTTTTCCCGAGCCGAGCTTGATACTTTTGCCTCATCGGAGCTAAATGTAGCTGTAAGCTTGCGGGTACATCGTCAATTTTTCGCCAGTCTGAATTTTTCTATCTACCTACGTTTTGAACACAATGCCTATAAGCATTATCGATGATGTTACTGTGTCCATAATGTAGTTTTTACGCCTGATTTTTCCTGACTACGTTGTTTATATGTATACCTGCGACGAACGTTGAGTCAGACGTCGTAGAATATATTCCCGAATTCACAGTTTTGATCTGCCTGTCAAATGTAATTCACTCGATACGATGTCCGTGACGAACATATTTGACTATTAATCTCGACGTCTTGGATCACGGGATATCGTGTCACACTATGTGGGTCAGTTGTCTGTCGATACACAAACTGATCGTGTTTGACTTGTGCATATCGGATCTAACGGGTTGCCTCTGGTAGTGGGCATTCTAACATTTCTGGTCCATTCGCAGTGAGTAATGTTCGTACGTCTCCGCTCAGTCTGTGAAACTGAATGGCACATACTTACTGTCAAGCAAGCCACGTTCCTGGTATATGATAAAAGCTGTGTGCCACATTTATGCTATGAAATAAGTTTTCGCTTTCATGTCGCAGCCCTAAAGAGGGATATTAAGCATGAGTGTCAGCGATGATTAGTTTAAACGCTCACTACTAACTGCATGACGTGCGATAAACGTACTATTACTTATGCTCTCCATCGCGCTCACGTGAACGATATTTCCGAAGCCATCGGTGACACAGTCCGTCACGCTGGAAGCCACTCAGTTCTGAGATGCGCCGTGTTTCTGTTATGAAAGTAGTTTGAATGGTCATACCAGGCAAATATTCCGAGTCTGAATGCCAGAACAAGAATCTGGTAGGGGATTTGAGGTGAAATATGCTGTAACGCGCCCGCAATACCTACAGGTGTGCAAACAGTAACTTGCTTGGAAAACCTGGGTGACGTGCAGACCACCGAAAAAATGCAACAAAACTGCACCGCAGCTTATCTACGTTGTTGTCTAAGAAAATATCAAGTTATTAAAAGATACAAACCCAAACGATGTCTTAACAACACAAATCAAAATTGGGTCGCATGGGACAAGCGTGTAAGAAATAACTCATGACGTTTCACAATTATGATAACATCGCCACTCAACCACTTACGTGGTACTCTGGACGCAGTGCAACGCGAACGAACGCGAGAGCAGAAGTTCAAGGCCGGGTAAATCCAAGAACGTGCAGTTATAAGCTGAGGTGTCATCAAGTGAGAGGACGTTTAGCTTCTCGGACATCCAACATGTGTCACTAGGGATCTGTCAAACTCCGCATCATTATCAGTACGGTCAGTGGAGGTATGCCAGGTCTTCCTCTTGCGCTTGTCGCATGTTCAGAGACATTTCATCACAACTGCCTTCATATTTTGTATTCACTTGCAACGAGTCGCCTTTGCGTGCATGTTGCTCGACCGGATATTCACGCGCCCGTTTCAAGAGAATTGCGCTTGCGCTCATTTTGAACTTTTCCAGTTTAGAATAAAAGCAATTGTGGCAGTTCCTTTACACCCCGCAAATGTGTTTTTCAACCCTCAAGGTTTCCACTGTGGGGTTTGTTTAATGCTAATGTTCACCTACCTACATCGGTGTTCCTGGATCCCACTTGTGCACGGAACCGAATATTCTTCGCTCTTGTCCCTGTCTACGCATAGTGCATCTTTCTATTACGCTAAGTGTCATGTATGGCTGTCGATTTTATCTGAACCGGGCGCCAATTGTTTCCTCGAAAATGAGCCTTTTCGTTAATCCGGGTATTTCAAACTACTCTATTTACTTTCGGAATTGCTCTTGTTCATTCGTATTTAATGCTCCTTGCCTTTCTCCAATTTCGGTTGCAACTAACCCTAGCTGTTCTCAACGTAGTCATTTACTATTTCTTTCATCAGCTTCCAACTTTCAAGTGGCACCACAATTACACTGTGTGTGATCGGTGCTTTCACATGCGTAAACGACCCGCAGCCACCTGTGCCGTTTGCGAGCGTGCTTGGCGTTGTTGCTTGCCGGTGAGTCCGTTCAATTCCAGATTCGTGTTCTGTTGTCCATTTACTCGTGTTGCTTTTAAGACCCCATTTCAGGATAACTCCCTGCTATTGGCTTCCATCTCATACTACCGGAACTTCTGTGTCCATCGCAGGTGCCGAAACACGTTTCCTCGGAGTCATCTCTCATTACTCACGTTGTCTGGCCTGGGCGTCGTTGCAGCAAGTGTCATCGTATGGTCCATGCGGATTGTGATCCACATCAAAACGATAGCGGTGGTTTGGGCTCTCCTTTGATCACCCGGAATGAAGAGGCCCACTGCACTACTGGATCAGCCTATTGTTGCCCTCATTGCAAAGATCAGGACTCCGCCACTCTGTTGGATGTAAGCTATTTTGCTTTACCTTGTGGAACCGCTTTTTGTTCACCAACAACACCTTAACTGTTTCATCTTCTGTGCTTACAGCATTCGCTGGTTTCCGTATCTTTCGGACCCAGTCCAAATATTGGCTGCGGAAACAGCAGCAACAGCGGTGATGTTAACGACGAACTCTTTCCCGGATCTACTATTGAAGATTCCACTCGCGCAATTCCTTCACTCGGTCCGGTTGGGGGAACCGGCACCTGGGCGAGCACTCCCTCTAGTTGCACTTCTAACTCAACTACGCCCAACACCGATATGGGTAAGCAACAAGATACACCAGGAGTCCACTGTGCTTCTGCCTCCCCTCGATTGAATTCAAAAACCAACTCCAGTATGACGAATATCTCCCGGACCACTTGTCCTGGTTCCTTCGCCAACCGTGTTGCTTGTGAAAATGGCAGTACAACTGCATCCCATATGGCGGGGCGAAAACGCGGAAGCAGCGCTCCGGTAGACGCGAAATCGGGAACAGTTACTAAGGTAATTACTGTCTTCTCGTAGGACGGATTCTTCTCATTGGCTTTATTTATGTCCCGGATTTCAGCTAACTTGGGAGTTGCTGCTTGGTCCATGCAACCAATCCATCAAACTAATGTTGATGCACGTTGTAGCTTTGTTTTTGTTCGTTTTTCAGCACTCTCCGCAGCAGGAAGTTTCCTGATGATGATGCTGATGATGTATCACTTTTTTCGCTCATCCAAATAATTTATGTGATGTTACCCGTTATTCTTCGTGTGAAAATGGCAATCACTGAATCAGAGTGAATTCGTCGTTTGAGAAATTTAAAACAGTTAGTTCCCCTTAGTAACTTGTAAAGCACAATTAGAAGACGAAGTTCGGCAAATGCATCCATTTCGTATTGTCTCAACGATAACCGGTAATTTTATACAACAGTTTGTGGGTACGGTCATACACACAAAGAAAGGAAAGAAAAAGCGGGTCTCTTTCTTCTACAACCAAGGCAGCCTGTGGCTGACCGATACTTGTCTTGTACCCAAAGCACTGGCTTAATCCGATTAATGGCAATAGCCTCGGCACACCGGAGGAGCCGGGAATTGGTATGGCGAAGCAGGATCCTAAACGCCTTGTTTACCTCATTTCGGTGACTTGATGTCAATAAGTGTCTGCCGATTGAAGCTGCCGGCGGCCTGCGCACAGACGTAGTCTGACTGGGGCTTGCTTGCTGAATAATCCCGCATTGAACCCATTTTGGTACACGGTCCTTTATTCGGGAGCTCAGTGTTCTATTGGCTCTGCCTATGTGACTACCTCCGTAGTTACCTACCCATTGATATACGCAGTGGGAGTTGGCGCCAATAGGCTGAGTTTCCTTCAGTGGAGGCAACGGTAGCTTATGAGTTCGATCGATGATTACAACTTCCGCAGCACAAAGTGCTCTGTGTGGCGGAAATCAGACGTCTTGTAATCCTCAAAGAAGCACTGTCACCCTTAAAAGACAACTCTATGAATACCTTTTTCTTAGGTACAGTAGGTATAGCAATTTTCATTTCACGGATTTGGCTGTGTTTCTGGATAAATTTTCGAGTGTAACCCTTAGCGTGTTGGTAAGTAGTTCTAGTTCATCAGCTAGACAGTCGGTCGAACATATCCCTCTGGTGCGACTAAATAGGGTCTTCATAAGCGTTCGCTTGTGCCGCATTGGCGTAAAGCAGGTAAAATGCTTATACTGTCTCTACCACGTTGTTTTTCGAAAGATAGACCATTTCACCAGTCCGTTCTCCCTGCGGCTGACAGTAACATCCAAATATAGAATACAGTTCTGTTGTTCGACTTCGCAGGAAACCCTCAAATTAACATGCGAGGAGTGAACACGTGCTACTAGCTGTGCGATCTGCATTTCTGTTGACCTGAACACCAAGATATCGTCCACGTAACATTTGTAATAGGGTAACTGCGCTATTTCTTCGGATAGGCTTCGTTTTATCATCAGCATGAAGAAATCCGCTAGCGTGGGACCCATTGGGCTGCCCATGGCTACCCCATCAACTTGTCGATACGATATATTTCGCATGTGGAAATTGACATTCTCTTTGCATAGAAGTAATGATTCTCTTAAGAATTCAACCGGAATCGGCAACAAACATCCGGAACTTTCTGCGAATTCGCAGATGTAGTCAACGGTCTGGTATAGCGGAACGTTAGTAAACAAGGATTCCACATCTAAGGAACACATCACCTTATCGGACAAATTCATTTTATCGAGATCTTCGACAAGCTTGAAGGAATCTTTGAGACCACGTAGATTAAACTGAGCTATTAGCGGAGAAAGCACATTAACCGACCAGCGAGCTAATTTATTTTGGGGTGCGTTCGTCATCGAGAGGATCGCTCTGATCGGCACTCGGCCTCGTTTTAAGAACACCGAATGACTGCACTCAAGATGTACGATGCAGATCATTGCCAAATAGCTTATGGCCACAGCAGAGTACACAGCGGTATGTACAAACGGTTGACTACTTGGATGATAGCCATACTACGTCTTAGACATTTGTAAAACAGTGCGAACACTGTTTGGAAAGCCGCATCTTTAACAGTGAGCAACGAGACCTAGTTGATGTAGTATTGCGGTAGTTGTCATGCCAGCGAGGCCGTAAGCGGCGTATATGTGGCATTGCCACCTGTCCATGCTTAAGGTTGCGCAAACATCGTTCTTTGCGAATCTGTACGTACCTCGGACAGCAGATGATCGGAACGGTCCTCAACACGGAAAGCCTGAAGTGGACGCTTCATCGCATTCACATGCCGTGCGATTTCCCCCATCAGCTGCACAAAACAGACTGTACATATAGACGGCAACACCTAAGTGCACGCTATTTTACTGTACCGCTTGTTTATGTATCATTCTGCCTAGTAACCGTACTAAACGTATTCGCTTCACTACTCCCATATTGGTGTCGTTCAAGTATTTATGCCCAAGATTTCTGGTCACTTACAAATATTAAAGAAAGCACTAACACTTCTCAGTGGGTATTATTCTGATGCGTGCAAAAATGGCTGGTAGTCTGACATCTAAACGAAACCCATGCACGTTTATAATACCATTGTTCATGAGGTTTAATGGGTCTCTATCCAGTTTTTGAGAGATCACATTTAAATTTTGATAAACGCATGTGCATATGTTGTATTCGAACTGCCATTAGACATAGATGATGCCAATCCATGTATATCTGTATACCGAATGAATTCGACAAGGATACTCATACCGCTTTTGTACGGCCAACTTAGTGCAGGGAAGCGGTTATCGGGCAAACCGAAAACAACATTACCAGGACATGAACAAGATGAGTTATGACGAACTAATGTTGATTCCAGGTGTTGCGAATCGATGGCAAAGTTGATCGATGCGGGTTCCGAGGACTGATCAACAGGGCGATTGCCCAGGTGCAGGAGAAGCCACTATTGCACGCGCAATAGAAGCACGATGCGTACGCTCCCATTCGATTTACTCATTCGGACCAATAAAGCGGCGTATTTGGTACGTCTGTCTGCGTGAAAAGTGTTCTTGCATTTCAGAAGTTAGATGTTGTTTGGGCTCCCCGGTGTGGCTGCGCCTGATGTGAATGTCGACAAGATGCCTACTTGTCTATTACCCTCCAACTCGATTACTGATTCTAGGAGATAGTTGATCGCTACTGGAAGGGACGAGGGCACCGTCCTCGTGACGGTGCTAGGTTCAAAAAGTGGTTCCAACCTGTGTAGAACGGGCTACGGCCCAGCCACTGCCTTGTGTACTTTTGGCGTGCATGATTTCCGAATTAGGCCGGAATGCTTCTGTTCTGCACGTTGAATGAGTGTGGGCCGACTTCGTTATGTAACGTGGCTCCCATCCACATGCCTCCCGGTCATATTCCTTCGGGTTTACACCGGATATGGGGTGTGTGGGTGAAACTGTGGGTGGTGCAGCGCAAGTAATCCATGGTCCCTTTGTAGGTGCAGACTTCCTGTGCCTGTCCCGTTGACAGCCACAGTGACAGGCAATGCGGATACGGATGCCATCATATATATATATATATATATATATATATATATATATATATATATATATCCAGGTCGTCACCACCCATAAGTTTACCTGCCAACGCAATTTTATGCCTCCATCATATTCGATTTTGTGTAGCTCGGCATGTGTTTGGATTGTGACTTGCAATCTTTCTTTTTCATCAGGGTGCATCATCCGATCACTGGGACTGCATCCGGTGACGAGCTGGTAGCACACAGCCCCATATCTTTTCATTCCTTCCGTACATATTTATCGGCTCTCCTACCTTCTTCATCAATTTACTTTTCTATCGGTGCCTAGATTTGTCTGCCTTCACCTTGGCCTAATCAGTTTGTCAACTTAAGAATGAATAAAAGAACTTGTCTTTCCCTTTGAATTTTTGTCTTTCATTTGAACTCCCTCTGTTCTCCATATTCCGCACGCTTCACAATTTTTATCTTCCTCTTTGCAAGCGAGTGTCCTAGGAATTTGCTCCTTGTCAGGTTATCTGCCTCAATCCGCCGGATATGCCTACTTCCTTGGTCACAATTAATGGGGCATTTTTTCGGATTGTGTTTGATCCGTAGCACTCAGCAGAGCCTTGCTAACCAATATACGGTTTTGCTATCCTGCGTTTCCAACTTTATCTGACGGTTACTGGGATGAAGTCCCCACTGTTTGTGCACCCACATTCAATTCTTTCTCTTCATGCCGCTACACTTATGTGCACAATATTTTGCACGTTACAATAGGATTTGTGGTCTTTCCACTTGGCTTTGATGCCATAATATTTACGGTCGTGATATCAGTACTATTTTCCTGCCCCTCCACACGCAGCATACAGAGGTCTCCTTTCACGAGCCCCATCATACCTTGTTTGGCTGCCTTATTCACTGATGAGCCCTGACTTTTGTTTTGTCAACTTTGTGTAATCTCTCTATGCCTTTCCAAGTCGACATTTCTTTCTTCGAACTAACGACTCTTAAGCTACAGTATCACGGTAATTCCTGATGTTCCTGTGCTCACACCGTACATGTCGCAGCGAACATTGTCGGTGATTTATCACTAGCTTCCCGTTAACAACCAACAGGTTCCAACTTCGGCAAGTTCGGGCACCTGGGTAACGAAGACCGGCGCGCTCAAGCGAACTTCCGGCACTCCAAATGCGGTCTCTTTAACCCGTTCGCGCCGTGCCAAAACCAGAAAATCCTCATTGGTATGTGATACGAATTCTCTTTCCCTCGTTCGTCTACTTCCACAAGTGCTCAAGCAAACTTACTATCACCGTTTCGCGCTTCGTTGGTGTTTGAGACGATATTTATTTATAGCGTGGCTAGTTGAATTTTTCGAGGCTTTGGTTTAACATATGCTTGTTCGGTTGTGCTTGTGCCCCAAAGATTATTGCTTTCGCCATAAGTTGCGTACTTTGGGTGGGACGAGTGTTTTATTTGTGCGTCTGCTGCCCATGAATTTCCTCCCACTTTCAAGGCGCATTATCCCACCTAATGCACGTAGAAAAATAAGACGGATACGTAGAAGCTTGACAAAAAGTTAGCTTGTCTGTGGATTGAAAATAGTTAGCCACTGATGGAAAGGCCACAAGTTTGAGATATAGTGCTGGACATAAACGAACTGTCAGCTCCTCAATTCTGGCACCACCACTCGGCGCTGGTCATTAATGTTTCATCAGATACGGTGGTGGCGCGCACATTAGTTTTCCTAACCTTTTATCATTATGGATCCATTTTCCGGTGTTTCTGATTTTTATCACATCGTCTCTGAGCCCCGGATTCGACTTTCCGCATGTGTATGGGTTTGACCGGCAATGCGCCCGTCATCAAGACCCACATACAACCGCCTACGATATTTTAGTAGTGGTGCATCATCACGGTGAAATTGTGTGCTTCTGGCGACTAACTTGACGTTATCACGACCTCTAGCAAATGCTCACTGTGTTTCAAGACCCTATTGTCTTACCTTAATTGCTTTAATTGTCGGCTATTTTTGTTTAACGCCCTCTATTGGGTCCCACTAGCAAACGGCTTTGTGACAATCTTCATCATCATCAATCATCACTTGACCTGAAGTATGTACTCGTGCTTAGCTTCCATACAGTCAACCTTGGGGAGGGGGCGGACAAAACTAGATGTCTTTAGGAAAATCGATGGGCAAGGCACGTCATTTTTTACGGAGTCTAATCGTTCAAGGTAGCACCCCTCCACTTGGCTTCGACCCGACTCAATAACTTCTACTGATCTCGACTTGCCATCATCATTATATGCGTTAGCTGCAGGTGGAAAACACCTCAGCTATTGTGCCGTAATACAATAGACCAAAAACAAGCACGTAGGCTAAGTTCCCAGTAACGGATGAACATCGTTCCGGAGAGCTAGCAGTCGGCTATCGTGCCGCAAAAAGAGAGTTATATTATGCCTTACGAATGCGATTGTGATTGGAGGGGTGGCTAAGCAGGCGGGAATGGTCAAAAGAACGCACAACACAACTAGATGTCTTTAGGAAAATCGATAGTTTCGTCCGCACTTCCACGCCGCTAAGGAGCCATCACCATATTAGATCACCTTCAGGGTTGTTGTTATGCATAGTTAGTAATAGGGTCGCAAAGATAAATGAGCTCTCTGTTCTACATGTTTTATACACTTTTTAGCTATTCATGCGGTCTCGGCTTCTGTCACTTTTATTCGCTGAGTCTTTGCCCACTTGCGTTGACTAGCCGTATTTTGATCTCGCCGCTAGGTCTGTGACAAATCGGCACATATGGGTGTATTAAATGATCCGGAAGCTTCCTTTCGTCAGTTCAGGTGATCAGCTCAGTCATGGCCAACGATGGAGAAGCGAAGTATAGAAAATGACGAAATACAATTATTAATAAATGAGTGGTATATTTCCGACGGATTCTGCTTTGGGTTGCACATATGGGTTGAATAGAAAAATAATAACAGCTCTGTAAACGATTTTGAGCTAGGTCCAACGACTCCATGCAATAATAGATATGGAAAAATGAACTTCGCAGTGCATCAAGAGCTGCCACGAGTAGTCGAGTTATTTTTTCCGAAAAAGTGATAACAGTTAGCGGTGCGCGGCAAATATAAAGAGCGAAAGGAGCTATCAGGTTTGCATGGCGGAAAGCGAGATTAATGTGATGTTATAATGTACAAAAGCTTACTTGTTTGACGAAACGAATAGGATATTATTCAGACAGTTTTCACACATCATGCAGTTGTCTCTATGCACCTAAAGTTTAACCCCTTTACATTGTTTCCATTCTGCAGTCCAGTTTTACCAGAGCTGTAACCTTCAACACAGTGAGGTACTTATCCAGCATTTTTTCAAACGATTGTGTCTTCTCACAGATTCGTAATTCACTAGGTGGCCTATTCCATATATCCGGCTACTTCATCAGGCAAAACTTCCTGTGTATGTTTGTTTTAGTTCTACTTGTGGAAAGCGAATTCCTTTTACATCTCTTGTCACATCTTCCATGGTAAATGAAGTATATACTATTGTGCGGTGCAACTACACGTTTATCTACTAAATCAACAGAAACCTCATATCCAGTTTCAATCTTTGTAGCCACAACGGCTCTAGTTTAAGCAGCATACAGCGCTCCGAATAGTTTGGTGTTAGGCGTTCGGTAAATAGGGCTTTGGTGGCTCGACGCTGCACATTCTTCAGGTATAAGGGGAATAGGTGCATAGATACACGAATGAATTCTAATAAACAGGGAAATAAGCGTTTCACTTCAAACTCTATCAGAGTTAGTAGGCACCGCCTTGGACATTGCTTTCTATCTGGTCGATCTAAAGGTCCATGGCTGTTTCGACCAAAAATACAGGCATGGTAAAGACCACAACCTATCAGGATAGTCTAGTCTCTTTCATTGATCCGATAGTAATGATCGATTCCTCTGGTTCTGCATCGAGCACAACCTTTGGATCGATAGCACCATTTACAGCATACTCATTATCATTACGTCATCTTGTGTCCATTAAGGGGTACATTGCAATGTGCTGATATCAGCTACATGCGACGCGTCAGCGCAGGTGTATTGGTGGGTTGAGATCACATGTCCAGTCTCGTATTAGGTGGCAGCTAGTACGCACCCACTTGATGCTCATTTCGCCGACATCAGGACGGTACATAAGTCGGCGTATGGTCACCAACTGATAGAACCGGCAGTCCAGCACAGCATTAATAATGGGATTTAGACAGGTAGATACAACCGATGAATATTGTACACTCGCAATAGACAATCTGGAATCGCTTTTGGTAAACGGTACAGAAAACATTGGTGTGTCCTTGTCTGTGGCTGCCGTGGAAGTTACATCGGCAGGACTGATCAGTGTGTACGTAAGCTTATTCCAAAATGGTTTGATGTCACTACGAGAGGTCAAACACGAAGACAAGCGTCATACTCATTAGTTGCTAAGGCCCTACTAAGTACAGGTTATCAGGTTGACCCGGACCTAACGTTTACGGTTATCTACCGCAATATACACGCAAAAATACTCAAGTTCGCTGAGGCTGTGGCCATCAGTTGCAATCGTCTTGACCCTTTGTCTACAAGTACATTTGATTATCACACTCATGCTTCCGTGGGGACCGTGATACTTGTTTCACCACTTGTGATTCTGCTGTAGCCTGTAGCGTTATGTGCCTCTTTTCTCTTTCCGTAAGCATTCCAACTATTGATTCTTTCCCTCAGTGATCGTTTAGTACGTTGCTCGTTTGCATGCGATCTAAGGGCACGAAATGATGTCATCCTGCAACATCCGTCTTCTCATTCCATTGTTTAGAATGGTGAAGGGAACGCGATGCTTCAAATCTGAAGAGGCTTGGTTAACAATCTCTTGGTTTAAATAACACAATGAAAGGACGGGTGTTGCACGATGATATCATTTCGCGCCTTCTGCTCATATGCAAGCGCGTGACATTTAACGATCGTTTTGATTCTGTTGGAGTTTATACCCTTTTGTTTCTTCCATTCCCATTCCGATACCATTCAAATCATTGATTTCCCTTTTCGTGATCGTTAAATATCGCTCGTTTGCATGTGGTTAGAAGCGCAAAATGGTATCATCATGCAACACCCCTCTTTTCATTGTGGTATTTAGACTGATACAGGGAACCCAGTGCTTCAAATCTCTTGGTTGATCGTTGATGTTAGTGGGGAGGAATGCGCAGTAAGAAGGAGACACGAGCGATAGGGAAAGGTCGAACGCCATTTCAAATCATGTAACCACACCATAGAGCAGACATGTTCGACATGCGGCCCTCTTGTGAACGAGCGTAGCCTATCTGATCATTTAGGTGAGTGTTGGGAAGAAGGTGATCATGGACTTCAGCTCGACCTCTCATTTAGAGGATGCTGAAAAGGAGCTTGTTTAGCGCCTAACCTGTCTGGCATGTGTGTCTTGCAATGGGAATGTAAGGTGCCGCTCTGTGAAACTCAATGGATCGCAGACGCATGTAAACCATCATACCACGCAGTGGTTGAGCCTTGCCGCGATGTTTACAACCTGCCTTTCGCGTCTAGATGCACAGATACTTCCTGCAATTTCTTGCTGTCGTTTACTACTTCAGTTTCTTATCAAGAACTTTGGGACACGTACACAGCTTGTGTTTGTGCTCACTGTTGTTTGTAGACTGTGCCAAAGCATTTGCAGCCACATTTACCATCATCCTGCGCCACAAGCATCTGTACTAAAGTCGTTAGAAGCAGAACGCGTTCGCGCGAGTCTTTGCCGGCCGATCGTTCCAACGGGAATGTGCGCGAGCTGCATAGACAGTTACCCGGTTCCTCAATAGCCTATTGCACTCGGTCGACTACAGCTGCCGCAAACCTTTCCATTGGCCCCACACGGAATCACCGTGACTCCCAACCTGGAACTGTTAGTGATACAACCGCTGCTCAGAACAGATATCGTCGTTTGTGCCTTCGCAGAGCATTCTTGGCTGCTCGTAACAAGTTATCTTCAGATAACTCCAACATCGTACACCCTAATCGGTTTTCCGGCATGAATTCAGATCCGCATCTCTTGTCGCAGGTTACATCCTTCGTTTTCTTCCGGTGTTTGCCTTTCGTTGCTTTTGTTTGAATTTCGCTTTTTTTGCTCTCGCCACCTTGTTTTCTCTGCTATCTAACGTGTTTAGTATTCTATCCCACTTTTATTCTTCTCCATACAGTATGAATCTAAGAGCATGGATGAAAAAGATGACCATCCCAGCACCGTTGTCCTGTGTCGTGCGGACGACAAATTTGTTCTAGAACAGGACATGTGTGTGGCTTGTGGGTCCTTTGGTTCCGACACTATCCTCCTTGCTTGCGCTCAGTGTGGACAATGTTATCATCCGTTCTGCGCGGACGTTCCGAAAATCACCCGAACTATGATTGAGCGAGGTTGGCGCTGCTTGGATTGCACTGTGTGTGAAGGTTGTGGTGGCACTAACAATGAAAGCTTACTCTTATTATGCGATGATTGCGACATCAGCTACCACACTTATTGTTTGGATCCGCCATTACAGGAAGTTCCAAAGGTAGGCCCACATACCGCTGCACATTTCCAATTAATGCCTGGCGCTCTGTGCACATCTGCCCACCATCATTCATCTATACTTTTCTGATGGCAAACCAATTACCCAACTGCTGTTTCTTAGCTGCGGCACTTCTGTTTCTCTTCTAGGGTGGATGGAAGTGTTCTGAATGTGTCATGTGCTCTAGCTGCGGCCAACGGGATCCCGGTTTACATGGAAAGTGGCATGCCAACTACTCTCTCTGTGCTCCGTGTGCATCACTAGCCACTTGCCCCGTGTGTACAATCGCTTATCGCGAAGGTGAATTACTGATCCGCTGTTCCCTTTGCGCTCGATGGGCTCATGCGGCATGTGACCAGCTTCGCACGGAGGAGGAGCTGGATTTGGTCACTGACTTGGGTTACAATTGTCTGTTATGTCGAGAGGCCGGGGCCGAAATGGGAGCTGGGCATGTACAGGTGAGGCTTTCGTTTTTGGTGGATCAGCTCAATTGATCCAGTGTGATGCAGATGTAGTTGCTTCTCTTTATTTTGTTATGGCATAAATGAATTGCGGACAGCAATCTAAACGAAAGCTGCTCGTGGTCGACGCCCAGCACCCAATGCTAAGGGTGGCACGAGTTATTTGCACAGAAATGCCATTGATTCACTGCTATGTCTTTTTATCCGACACCACGTGCTGTCGACAAATAACACGGACTGATTAAACAGTTGACAGATCAAACGATTCATCCAGTGCCAACTCTCAAACTCACAGCACTCGCTCTATTCTGAAACATCAAGTGGATGTCAGCACTTCTCTGTGACTCAATCAACTGACTAGTGCTATATAGACAACTGAGGAGTTAGTGGCGATTTTCACTGGGCCTTAAAATTCCCTTCCATCATGCCAGCTACATTCTTTACGCGGGCAACCCCCTATTTCCTAGTGATGTACTCGATATGCCATCAGTTGTTTCATGTTTTACTCGTTGGCGGTTTCCTTCTTTAATTTCCCACCACTCCTGCTATCGTGCTCATATGTCTGGATACTTTCGACTCGTATTTGCTCTCCCTTTCAGATTCTCGCCTATCGTCAAGCTGGCGGGGGAATTTCAAATGCCGTGGAAAACATCAAATTTGGCGAGGGCACTGAACAGTTTTTCTCCGACAGATTGGTTGGTTTTCCTTTTCTTTTTTGCACGTCATTCATCTGACCATGACGTTCACGTACGTCCGTTAGAAATTAGCGCATGGCAGTCAGCCCAATTGCTCTGCCTTCACACTACCGACGTGGTTAAGTCTTATTTTGACCACATCGTGTTTAACCAACACTACCATTCCTGGATTTTTTGATTACCTTTATCCGTTTTGTTTTCCTACACCTTTTCAACTATCTTCGGAGCCTTAAACATTCATCTTTTGAATACTCACCGTCATCTTTACTTCTCACTATGTTCACTCTTGCGTTCACAGTCCCCCTCGATGTTCCCAAATGCATCTTGCCTCAGCCGATGGCGCAGTGAAGACCAGACCTCTTCCCCGACTGAAACTCGGTAAGCCACCACGAACCACTTCAGACTCAGTTTCCGGAAGTGCACGCGGCACGTTTACGGTTCCGTATCATTACCGCTTGTGCATCTCCACTCTATATTTTGTATCTTGAAGTCAAATTTACCGGTTTTCGGGAGCATTGTGTGGGGTTGATTGAGTCAGACGAAGTGTGCACTGATTTTCTTTTGGCAAGATACGTCCTCTGGCCTCGAATACCCTCTTGCATCTTCGTTGTCCTAAGCAATGTAGACACCTTGGGCGGATCGTCGTTCTTCACATTTTTGCGAATGAATCTCGCGATCTCTTGTTTTTACGCTACATTGAATTTATTAAGGTCTGTCTACCGCGTGCGATTCCACTTATTGCAATCAGGCTCTTCGCCAAAGCTCTCAATTCAACAGGAAAATCAGAACTTGACGGAAAAGATGCCTACACTGACAGAACACAATTTATTTAGCTGTAATTCCCACCATATTTTATTGATCCAGAAGCGAGGTGTTGTGCTGCCTCAAATTTCGCCAAATTTAAGTTCCGCTCACACGCAACTTAGTAGGCAATCTCCGTTAGTTTGAAATCCGGTTAAGCGATCTATAATAGGGAGGTGGTTTCGATCTGTCCCAATAAGAATTTCCGTGCGACAGTTCTAAACCCATCATTATGAGCTCCTTTCCCTACAACTGCGTTCAATTACAAGAACTATCCTAGCTCAACACTGAAATACGAATAAATTGTGGTATGACGTCATTTTAAGTGGTTTGAATATATTCGTCAGTGACAGATGACAAGCAGTGGAAAACATGCTTTGCTCACCTACCCGTCAGGATTTTTCATGGGCAGTTCATCTTTGGGCGCCTAGTCAAGAGACCTCTAGTGTGGCCCTCGCGCCTAACCACAGTATTGCTAGTGTAGAATAAATTGTAAAAAAAATGATTAACCTAGCTATTGGCAAATCACCTATTTCAATCAACACGTTGGTAGACTCTCTCACAATATTATCAGCACCATGCACAGTTACTGAACATTCAGAACTGTTCCTCACTACTTATACTCCCCTCCGGCATAGAGTGACTGTTTGTGGCACTAACTCGAATTGTTTCACTCAACTGATTTCGTTGAAGGAGGTTACATTTTATACACAACGCAGACGAAATATCCGCCACACAACTGTTCGGTCTTGCGGCCAGTGCAACTTATTATTGTTAATGCGCGCTGCGGAGCTTCTCGCTTCACGAAGACACCATGGTTATTTGGGGTTTCGATTTTGCGCTGCGAATAATTAAAGGCGCCTTTTCTACTACTTGTTAACCTATCCTGACTGTCATCAATTTTCTACTACAACGATGGAACGAATTGTAATTACAACAGGCAGAACTGCTTTTTCGCTCCCAAACAGTCCGAGATTTTGTTGACAGCCTGCTAAATAGATCACCGCTGCCGATTCTCATTTTGACGTCATCGCGCTTACCTTTGTGTATGTCAATAAAGCAACTCTGTTAATTTGTTTGTGTTTGGAGTGATGCTTGGGGCTGCGGTCCAGATCGATCTTCATCAGTGCTGAATCGACTAACGAATCTAGTTTTTGACATTCGTAACCAAAACTGCTTTTCAGGTTTACCAGGATAGCTCAATGCTTCTGCGCACCAAAACCAAGGATGCCCGCTGTCACCTTTCCTATTCAACTTCGCTATTGACGAAGTCATGGAGATTGCATTTACAGGACATGACTTGGAAGGTGTGGAGCTACTCCCAGGAGAACGACTTCTTGACTTAGAGTATGCAGACGACATTGCCCTCATCTGTGACAGCTCCCAGACGTGTCAAGCCGCGCTGGACAGATTAGCACTGGCTGTCAGTCGCTTCGGGCTTTGCTTTGCACCACCGAAGTGCAAAGCGTTCCTCCAGGATTGGCAGGGTTCGCCCCCTGTGCTGACCCTTGGTGGGGATCAGCTAGAAGTCGTTCAGAAATTCAATTACCTGGGAAGTTGTATCAGCGCCCTTGGGATCGAAGACGAGATCACGAACCGCATGACGAAAGCTCGAAGTGCTTTTGCTAACCTTCGCCACCTATGGCGACGGCGCGACATTACTCTCGCCCTGAAGGGTAGAGTGTACAATGCAGCGGTACGTTCGACCTTACTGTACGGTTGCGAAATCTGGCCCCTAAGATCGGCGGACATGAAGAGGCTACTTACGTTCGACCATCGGTGCCTTCGCAGTTTGGCTCACATCTGGTGGGAACACCGCGTGAGTAACGAGCGTGTTCGACGCCTTGTTTACGGCCTAGGAAAAGGGAATGAACCGCTCAGCACCGTCATTTCACTCACCAGGCTCCGAGGGCTGGGCCACGTGTTGCGCATGCCAGCCCACCGACTCCCTCGACGTGCGTTGTTTGCTCACCGGGGATGTGGGTGGAAGAAGAGGAGAGGTGGCCAAGCGATGAATTGGTCCAGAGAAATGAAGGCCCTCACTTCGGAGCTGGCCTCGGTTGGAGCTTCACGGCTCCCTGGTTGGGGTCCAAAAGACGGTGAACACGTTTGGCTAGATACACTTGCTGATATGGCAAGGAGCCGACCTCATTGGCGTTCCTGCTGTGAGTTTCTTTGTCCCTCCCCATCCCTTTAGCCTCCCCCTCCATCTACGATCTTATTTCGTAGGGTAAAACGTAATTAAATTTTTGTTATTGCCAAGTAGCCGGCTAGTAGCTTACCGGAACGATGCGTATCCGTTGCTGGTAGCTCAGCTGGCATTCAACTGTCGTATTTATTTTTCCTTTATGTATTGTATGTATGTATGTATTTCCTTTATGTATTGCGGTACAATAGCGGAGGTGTTTTACCATCTCTAGCTGACATGTATAATGATGATGATGATGATGATGATGATTTAAGTCGTGACTTACTGTTCGATGGGCCTTATACTATTCCCATGCTCCACGCTTAATTTCTTCGGAGTTGCCTTCAACCAGATAAAAGTAGCTGCTTTGCGATTGCCTCACTGAGCAAGTATATCTAGGAGGCAAGACACTCAGACCTTTGTTATCCTCCTGGTCCGTTTGCATTCTTCTCTTGCGTGATGCTCGAGCGAAAGTGACGCCTTCGTCTCAGCCTAGCTCAGTCGACCAACTCGAATCCGTGTATCGCAATGCATTGCATCTGTTTTAACTTACTTTGAAACACTGAGTCACCTTTGACCACATCATTACCGCATTGATTGCAAATGTCCACATTTCGATTGCTCTCTTCCGTCGCAACGCAATGCAAACAAGAAACACGTGAAGTTATTTAGGGTGGTAGCCCAGTAGCACAGATAAACAAAAATAGCATGTGTAACGCAATCTGGTCCATGGCAAACTAATCGATTTGCTCAGTTATTTCTGGACACGGAGCACTAGGACACTCATCCTTATCAGTAATGCCTCACTGATTAGCAGCTGTTTAGAATTCCTGTTACGCAGTCACACCTTGTAGGGGCTGATCTGGTCCACCGGATGATGAGTCATCATAACGGGCTTAGCGGTAGATGTGGCGGGGTTCCTGTTCATCGCTTGGTCCACGCCACCTTGTTACCTCAACGATTGTCTTCGCTACTTTATTTGTTCCTGCCGTTCAAAGGCGATCACGCTGTACACCATATTAAACACAAGCCCAGATTCTCTCTAACACGCATCTACACGACTACTTGGCTGTGACTCGTCCATACCACACGAAGGTTTGTTTTCGTGAACCAAGAGAGCAGCTCGATTGACGTCATTTACCAGTTCACATGCAGTCGCGGTGACACACATAGACAAGATAGATCGTCGACTGTCTCAAAGAGTAGCTGAACACTTCCCAAAGTGGCTAACATAATCGTTGAGACAACAACAAAGATCAAGCGATGGATAGAAACATCCCCTCATCTATCGCTAAGCACTGGTGGACCCTTCAAGGTGTGCCTGCGTAATAGAAATTCTAAACAGCTGCTAATCAGTTTGGCACAACTGATAAAGATCAATCGTCCAGTGCTCTATGTCCAGAAATAACAGGAAATGAATTCAGTTCAGTTAACTTCAGTTGAACAACTATGGTCCAAGCAAGATAATGGGTTAAAAGCTAGTAGAATGTAAAATATGGAAGCAAGAAGGAAGTGGGTTGGACTAATCAGAATGGAACGAAAATTAACTACCACCGTCTCCATAGCTGTATCGGTCTTTGGAAAGCTACACGGACCTTGCTGATACGCGAAGTAACTTCCTCAGGCATATGGCCACCATAGGTGACACAGCCACCAAGGTAAGCGAACCGATTTACCACTTTTTTGGCTGTTCGGTGATAGTCAGAACTAGTGGTGTGTTGATCCAGTCCTGCAGCAGTACTTTGTACTTTGAAGGCGCAAAGCGCATACCGAAGTGTGCAGCGCTGCGCGTCAGTTTATCCAATGGTATTTACATAGCCACTGCCGGACCAAAGAAGGGCTGTGTCGTCCGCATACTCCAGGTTTATCAGTCGGTCACCTGGCAGAACTTCCACTCCGGTAGAGTCTGAAAAAAACGGTATTACTCATGATCATTTCGCTAACAAATTTGCAAAGTAACAAAGATATAGGACAATTTGGCGAATCCCACTTGTTGTGGGGGAGCCAGGGGGCAATTTCTCATAGACCCTTAAACGTCGTCGTGAGTCACGGTAGAGAGACTGCATAATGGAAAGAAAGTTGGCCGGCACGCCCTTCATGGACAGTTAGTGCCACAACCTAGAGCGGTCAACAGAGTCGAAGGCGGTTTTCAAGTAAAATAAAACCGTCATAGTCGGTTGTCTGTGTGTGTCTCTGCTCTAAAAATTAGGAAAGAGTAAATATATGGTCAATACAACCACGACCAGGACGCAAGTCAGTGATTCGATTCTCACGAGGACCAGTAAGTTATGGGACAATGTGAGAAGTTTTGAAGCAATTGAAATAAGGCTAGTGCCTCGATGTTTTTTGCACACAGTATGCTGATCTCTCTTGATAGTTGTCAGTCTGA